GTTCGATGATTGAGCGCTATGGGGTGACCGTTTGTCAACCGAGTCCTGCTATCTGCCTTAAAGAAGTGGCAAAACAGATATCCGACAGGGACAATTCTGTGAGAAATGCCGCTTTGAATTGTGTGGTTCAAGTGTTCAACATCGTCGGCGAGAAGGTGTATAAAATGGTTGGAAATGTAAGTATGGTTCGGAATAAAGGGTGTTCTGAAAATGAGTTACGCTGATTTTACATGTTAAAATAATGGTAGAAAGTCATGTCACAAAAATTCTAAATCTGAATATTTTCCGAGTTACAGCGCATCAAACTAATTTTTTCCTCGTTCAGAACATTTTTTCGCGGATCAAATTGAAAACCGGTGCATAGTGATCAATTTTTTTCCCATTTTGCCACTACATGGCACTTGTAATCCAAATTTCACTTTCCGCATATCTTTTTTGGAACGCCAAATGTCAAAAGTCAAAAAGAAATTGCCATTTTAAACATTAGAAAATACTAGACAAAGATGTGCTTTTCACGCAACTGGAAAACCTCTTCGTTTAGGAGCAAATCGACAATGATTTTTTTAATTTGTTTGATTTTTTACTTGTTTTAACAATTTATAATAATTAGTGTATTACTGTTCAATTTAAAATAAGCTTTTGTGCTCTAAAACCACTAAATTAAAATGAATCGAGAATATTCAAATCTTGCATTCAAATCGAGCTCCAAAGTTTAGACTAAATCGAACAGTAATACTATCATTACTATAAATTGTATTATTATAATATTGTATTAATTTTTATCATTAACTATTTCTTTATCAAAAGGTACTTACACCACTTTCAAAGAAAATTGCGGATATGTGAGCGAGGCTTTGGTTTAATTATCATTTTATAGAAACTTATATTAACATCTAAATGCATCTTTATTTTTTTTTAATGTAGGGTCACACTGGTACTGCGACTTTAAGAGAAGAAATAACCGTTCTTAAAAAAATTGATTTATTTCGAAATATAACAATTTTGACTTGGAGTTAAATTTGAATTGTAATTTTTAGATATCCGATAAAGACATGTCATTACTAGAGGAGCGAATTAAGAGAACGAGCCGAAAAACGGTGATACTTAAAAGTGAGGTTAATCCCAGTGTGCCAGAAGTGCCACTACCTACAAAAAAAGTGTGCAGTCGCAATGACACTACGGTTTTTAAAAGTGATGAGGATCAAGATGTCGAAGAGGAACCCCTCTCTGTCCCGGTGCCCACGTAAGTAATCTATCAGTTACGATTTGATGTATTTTACTTCATGCTGATAATATTGATCATTTGCATTCTTTACACAGGGTGATTCAAAATTGGCGTCATYCCCTTTAAGGGTATATAGGGGTCCACTTAGAGAGTACAAGAAAAATATTGAATTTTTTTTTTCAAAATTTCAAGAAGAAGAAATATTAACAGTTGAAGATCGAATTTCAAYTTTGTTATTAAGCATTATTTTGAAAAGGTCCCACGTTTGATTGGTAGCCTATGGAAATACTTAAGCATTCGAAAAGAAAAATTACAATCTTTTTGTCAGTTTTAGAAATTAAATTTTTTGATTCCTATTGGAAAAGTATTCTTCTACAATTTTTTGACGTAAAGTCAAAGCGGCAATGATGGTTTTTGTCATTAACAGATAGTTCCAGATAGACAGCATTTGTCAATAATAACAAGGATTTGTCAAACTGTGGCTTATTTTGAAGCTTTTTTCACAAAATGTAAACCCACAGCGAATTTGCAGCACTGACCACAAGGTGACACCGCTATCCTAACCTCAACGCATGTTATTGTCTCTTTTATTTTCTTTGCTTCAGTTTATCCATGGTTAGCGGAGTTCTTAATAATTACGAAAGAACAGGTATTTACGTAATTTCAATTAGGCAGATTACCTTGAAAAACATTGTTGCCACAGTCCTTCTGATCTAGTTTTTTGCAAATATCTGAGTTTTTAATAACATCAAATTTTTATTACTATTTTTTCTGTACTCCTATAACAGCGCCAGACAACACCTCCAGAGGAATAACGCCAATTTTGAATCACCCTGTATAAATATACATATCATTATCGGGTGATTAGAGTTAAAATTTAGATACCTATTTGCGTGAGTAGGTTTACTATTTACCAAAATTTCGAAATTGTTTTAAATCTGTTATAGATGAAGTGAGGAAAATCTGTCTCTAAATGACAAAAATTTTGAGTGGAAACCCAAGAAAAAGGTTTTGAAATTCTTTAGTTATATTAAACTGATGATAAAGTTAGTATTTCTGCTTCATCTGAGGTGCTTGCAGTATTTTTGAATAAATAATAACAATTAATTTCTTTGTAAGGAATTTAATTATATTTAATTAACATATTTAAATGAATTAAAAACCAATTAAAATTTTTACTAGTTACTACTAAAAAAACAGTTTTATCATACATTTTGCAAACTTACGATTTATTAGGCTTCCTTCAGCTGTTCCTTTTGAACAGCCGAAGAAGGAAATTCAAGGACCGTTTAAACTGGAATCCGAGATTATGAATGATTTGGACAAGATTACTCCGTATTACGAGCGAATTCCCACTGTGGAAGTTGATTACGGTTTTCTGAGCGAAGAACTCAAAATGCCATCTTTCTTCGATAACAAAGTCAAGTAAGTATGTGTAACAACGTCAATAATATTGTGTATGCAAGTTATTGGCATTTCAAAGTAAAAAAAATGAAATATAAGTAGTGTAAGTGTAAGTAATACTACACATGTTCTCTACTACCGCGCAGCTATATGCACGATGGCCCATCAAAAAGCTTCCATCGCGGTTAGCGAGCACCTCTTTTAATAACAGTTATTCAGATATGTAAATCTTGAAATTAACGACAGAAAAATTTCGATAAACTGGTTTTGTATAAAAAATGTCAAATTAATTAGTTGCAGCAGCTGTGCCGAGTAAAAAACATCTGCGGCAGCAACTAATTTCGTGCCGAAGCATGGGCGAAATAATGTGTAGGTTTTGACACTGCTATTTTTCGTCTATAGCCAGTAAAACCGGTCATGGGCGCGCATGAAATTATTTTATCAGGAAATCAGCACTTCCTTGCATCAGGTTGCTTCAGCTCTGATAAAATTTATTAATAATAGTTAAATTACTTTAACAGGAACAATCAAAGTGCAGATAATCTGTATAAATTTATATAAAATCGAAGGCAAAATTGATATTTTTCGAGGACGTCCTACTAAAATATAACTTAACTCTAAGCCCTGATGGGGTAGAACTGCAAGAGCCACTTAATAAAAACTGCGGTTAGGAGGAKTGCATCATAAAATACTTCGTATGAAACTTTATGTTTTTATAACTTATTTTTTTTTTTTTTTTACTTTTTTAACTTATGAGTTTTGATARGTGCGGATGGTATGGGATGCTCGTACTAGAGGTGGRATRAACGRTTATTTTTCTGTAACAAAGTTACAACGGTCCAGTTTCACGTTGGTAAATAGTTGGTAAATAGGTGGTAAAAGGTTCCAAAATGCGGTTCCAAAAAGAACATGTTACTTTTAACATTTTTCGCCACATGTATGAGGAAGGAATACGAAGGTTAGAATTTACCGCTTAACACCATAAGCCACGAAAGTTGACGGCTTAATTTAAGCCGAGCTTTGAATAATGTAAGCCTGGTTTATACTGTGGTGCAAACCAATTTTATTTTAAAGCTGAGCTTAATGGCAAAGCCAAGCTTATTTTCAACGGTGCAAACGGGCCTTAGAGGTGTGATAAACGGTTATTTTTCTGTAACAASGGTTACAACGTTCCAGTTTCACGGTGGTAATAAGTTTCAAAACAAACATGTTACTGGCTTGAAGCAATAAAMATTTTATTGTCGATTTGCTTCTAAACGAAGATGTTTTTCGAKTTGCGTGAAGAGCACMTATTTGTCTAGTATTTGATGTCGTTTAAAATGACATATTCCTTTTTGACTTTTAACATTTGGCGTTCCAAAGAAGATATGCGGAAAATTAAATTTGGATTACAAGTGCCATCTAGTGGCGAAATGGGAAAAAATTGATCACTATGCACCGGTTTTAAATTTGATCCACGAAGAAATGTTCAGAACGGGGGAAAAATTAGTTTGATGCGCTGTAACTMGGAAACCATTCAGATTTCKAATTTTTGTGACATGACTTTGTACAATTATTTTAACATGTAGAATCAGCCTAACTCATTTTCCGAACACCCTTTATTCCTAGCCATACTTACATTTCCAACGATTTTGTACACCTCGCCGACGATGTTGAACACTTAAACCACACAATTCAAAGCGGCATTTCTCACAGAATTGTCCCTGTCGGATATCTGTTTTGCCACTTCTTTAAGGCAGATAGCAAGACTCGGTTGACAAACGGTCACCCCATAGCCATCACTTCGAGGCATTCAGCTCTTTGCCGAGCGTTCTTAGACTTGACCCCTTCCATCACATAGACGCATAGTCGGCTGACAGGAAAAACTGCGGTGATTTGCTTTAACAGTGATTTCACTCCATTTCTAACAGTGTCTTTGGGGTCGCCAATCTATATAATTGATTTGATATAAATGTCGTTATTGAAACAACGTTCTAATAAATGCTGACTATTTAAGGTTTCAGTTTCGCTTAACGTAATAACTGAAAAATCGAGTATGCTGGTTCTGAACCTGGAAAAGGACCGTCCTACTAAACAAGTGGTGTCCTATACAATGACTAGAGGTGGGATAAACGGTTATTTTTCTGTAACAAAGTTACAACGTTCCAGTTTCACATTGGTAATGTTCCAAAAGGAACATGTTACCTCTTAAATTTTTCATTAAACATGCGCAATGATGATGGTGGAAATATTAATGACAAATAATGATTTAGTTTATTAAAAGAATAATTCTTAACTAAAGCTCTTAGATAAAATAAAATATCCTAAAATCAAAATCAGAACATGGGTCAGAAGAACCTGCTTAAAGAACAAAAGAACTGGAAATAAACTAGATAAAATATATAAATAAAAACTGATTAAATAAATTATACGCTTCATTTGCAAAAAATGTTTAAAAATCTAACTTTCATTTAAAAATTAATTAACGTTCGTATAAACGAAAAGTGATAAACACATTAATCAAGGCAACACGCCACTATACATATTTTCCGTTGACAAATGGTTACTGAAACTGCTGCAACTGGATAGAGCTCGACGATGCCGCATCGGTTCTGTGCTGACTCGAACTATTTTTCAGGTTGATGAGGCGGTTCCAAAAAAAAACGTTTAAATCGGCAAACGGCTGCAGCTAGTGCGAAGTGCGCACAACTGTTTAGATTTTATAAGACGGTTCCAAAAAGAAGGTCAGGGTTTAAGTCAGCAAACGGCTGCAGCTGGATAAATCGCTCGACGTTGTCGCATCGGTTCTGTGCTGGTACTCACCGCCGTTACGGTTTTATGAGAAGGTTCCAAAAACAACCTTTTAATCGGCAAACGGCTGCAGCTGGTTCGAAGTGCGCTCAACTGTTTCGGTTTTATGAGACGGTTTAAATTGGCGAACGGCTGCAGCTAGATAGATGCTCGGCGGTGTCGCATCGGTTCTGTGCTGTTGCGAATGGCTTTTTCGGGTTTATGAGACTGTTCCAAAAACAACCGGTTAAATCTGTTAGCTGTAACTACGGTTTCAGGTTACACGTTTGTAACAATGTTCTTTTAGCGGTTCCGTTAAATACCGACCATTCCTAGCTCGTATAAAGGAAACATGCATTTGCATAATTATTTTAATTTATTCAAAAATTATCAAATTAAAAAAAATTGTGCGAAATTTGGGAATGTCGGTTTTTACTAAGTGCGAGTTTACCCAACGTCGTAATTTTACTCTTAAATGGAATAATTAACTTAATTCATAAAATCCCAAATTAAATGCGACCGTTTACCCAAGTTCTTAATTCACAAACGTAATTTTACAGAAAATTTACACATAGAAGCTACAATGATATCAGCCAAAATAAATGTTTCGATTCTATATATATACTAACAAGCGTTTTTTTGCTATTCTAATATAATTTCCCGATATTTCCCTAAAATATCTACCGTCTACGGTCGAAGTTGTATAATTGTTTACTTACAAACGTTCCAAACCAATTGTAAAATTTCCTTAGTTATTATTTAGTTTTATTCTAAATTTACCGCAGTTTTTTACCAGTTTTTAGCTAGAGCAGATGCTACAAAGGCGAAACATACGTTTCACAAAAGACATGCAAAACATTGAAAAGTAAAGTGAATTAAAATTAAACCCAGATAAGCAAGAAGGTCATTAATAGGACATACTTCAAGCAAATACGTTTGCCGATTCAATAGTGTTTTTCTGTTGTAATCATTTTCTTTGATATAATTGATTTTGTTGAGTCAACAAACAGCAAACAGACTTAATAAAACAAGATATAAATAACATTTAAAGTTATATTGGAACGACGCAAGACGTTTGTAAACATTAAGGATTAAATTAAGAAACTGGCTAAACCATCCTTAAAAAGCTTAAATTTTACGAATTACGCACTACGACGTTGGGTCAACCTGCACTAATGCTTCAATATTAATATTATTCAATATTCAATATTCAATTCAATATTGAATATTCAATATTCAACATTTATCGAATCCCGAACCCCGTAGTCTGACCCTACCTTAGTCACAGCTTCAAAAATATCTGTTCCCTTGGTTATACAACAAGTGTACATGATTAAGAAATTATTTGTTGCGGCGGCCTAAAAAGCCCAAAAACTCAGCAGTTTCAAGCAACGGCTGGGAAACGGGCGAACTTTACAAACAAAGTGATTTTTCATCTACGAAAAAAGTCACTTTGCATTTGACCAAATTCATTTCAGATTGAAAAGCGAATACGGGATGCTGACAATTTAGGTTTTGAACCATGCAAACCGTTTAATTAACAATCCGTATATTTTTTTAGATAAATAATTTGTAGTTAAATGTAAAGTTTTCTATGTGGCGGCAACAGTAATTTCGGTACAAGGGACGAAAGTCTAAGATCCGCTATTGCATGAAGTTGGCGCCCGAAGCAAAGTCGAGGGCGTCATGCACGCAGTTGCGGGTCTTCGACTTTAATCTAGCGAACCATATACTATTTTTATTGATCCTCGGTGGAAACTAACCGGGAAAGTGTAAGGTTTATGGTAAGGAAAAAAACTTTCAAAATGTCAAAACACACAAACATTCAAGCGGTCAACGTGCGTGGCGAAAGTTATTACTTTCCACACAGGATGCAGACAATTTGTAATAGGTAATAGTGAGGCTTTCGCCATCAAGAACGGTGGCGAAAGTACGTACTTTCCACCAGGGGATCAAGAAAAAGTATATTTTCCATGGTCCTGCAATAATGTTGCAGCCCTCGGTAGCTTGTAAACGATGTTTTTTGATAGAAAATACTGTATGAACATGCCTAGTTTAAATTTTCTATACAGTGTGATGCAAAAGTCGGGTAGTCTTACAGCGCACATTTTTTATGCAACATCATACAATTTATGTTAAAGTTTTATTTCTAAAAAATGCCAGGCTCCTCTGCTTGAGTCATTGAGTCAAATATCTTCAAAATACAGTTTTTTTAATATCGCGGTATTTTAACGATTGATTTTAATGAAACTCGCTGTGCATTTTTTCCTGTGGTATAATCGTGTGTTGAACGTGTCTTGGTACAAAAACTACCGGACCTTTTGAATTGGAAGCTGAAATTAACTGATTTTTTTAAAAATCGATGCACTTGAATGCAATGAATGTGTCAGTTGACAAGAGAACCGAAATATTTTTTCGCAAAAGTTAAATGCTGTCAAAAAATCCGTGCAGCTCAAAAAAAGATCAGTTGATTTCAGCTACCAAATAAACAGTTGTAGTCGTTTTTGTACCAAGACAATCAAACTTTACCACTTACCCTAAGCAGATGAACTGGGTTACTTCTCCAAAATATGAGTCCTGCATATCAGCATGCACTCATATGCTACAAAATAGGTATCCTAATGTCTTCTGGGGAGTTAGCTTGGACTTTTAGGCAACTACCTATCAAATTTAAGTTTTGAATTTAGAACCGTTCCTTAGATATAGTTTGTTCCGTAAACATATGTAATAGCATTTTTTTAACACATGTCACATTTTTCTTGACACTTGACATCTGTAATAGCTTCAAACAATTGACATATACAAAAAATGTCTTAAACAATTGACATATATCAAAAACTGTATATGGTAACATGCTAATATTAGCTCCAGCTTTCTATTAGTGTTATAACACTGCACGTTTTCATGCAATCCTTCTTCAAAATTTACACAGATAGATAGGAAAACGAAACAGACAGACAAGGAAGCGAGCTGGAAACTAATATAACACATTCTATAGCGTAATCAATTGGAATAGGAAACAATTCAATTTCAAAAACCAACTTAATGCAGACCTTAGACAAGCAAAGTTTGATTTCTAGTTGGTTTAAGAACGAACCTCGGTTCTCTTAATACAGAAGTATGATGGCATTACTTCTAAGAACTACATGCAAAAGCTACAGCATTGTATTTTTGTTTCTGTTTCTCAGGATTATGCCATTGTCTCCTCCAAAACCGGTGACTACCAGAGTAAGCAATAGTCCAAATGGGTCCGGCTCCGATCCGGACCTTAGCAGATCAATAAAACTCATCGCATCGCAGAACTTAGTTCTTGGCCTGCAAGTGAGTATTATATACAGAAGATATTTTAAAATCGCAACTTTTGTTTCCACGCGTCTTTGTAGGGTGTGGAGCAATGCCTGGAATATATGAACAATCCGCTTAAAGTTCAAGTCTTTCCAGAACACGAAAATGAATTTTTTGAGGCGATCACATCATTGTTACAGTATCTCCGTACATTAGATCCGCTTACAAATCCCACTGCTGCAAAGATTTACAGGAATGTTTTCCGAAATATTGATGCGGTAAGTTTATTTTCCGTTTTGACTTATTATTTTAGTTATTAGTTATGATATTTTCCGCCAAAAACGCCGAATCCGTATCGTCGATTGCCTATCCCGATTGTGACGTAGCAGGTCATATCAACAAAGTGTCTCGTTTTTATTTTGTTGTTTTCGCAGCTTTGTTTTATTATTTAAGTTATTGTGATTATCATTATTTTATTGATTATTATTATGATCTTCGATATGATATGATCGGCATAATGGAAAATAGTGACATGTATGGATCACAAAATAAGTGGTGTTTTGTGCCAGGATGCAAGAATATCTCAATAAGTGCTCCAAACAAACGCTTCTTAACCGTTCCCCATGATTATGCACGTAAAGTTTTATGGTTCAAAGCAGCTAGACGTGATGTTTCTAAATCAAAATCAACATTTTTTGGTTGCGAGGATCATTTTAATGAAAGTACGAACAAAAAGCTAATGATGAGGCAGACAGAATATGCTCTCGTTCAGAATTGTTCTCGTGATGTCCAAAATACAAATTTAAGAGTTCATTTTACTTTTAAAGCAGCCATGTGTATAGGTTAGGTTAAGTTGAATAAGTGAAATTATATGTATTGAAGAAAGATTAGTCTATTAAGGAGAGAGTAACTAATAATGAATTTACGGATTTTTACTTACGCTGCTGCTTTGACACCCTTAAATTCGGCTGAATTAAAGCGTTTGTCGGTTTTTAAAAGTTCGGTAACCATAAAAATATGTACACATGGTAAATTGTTTGTTGACGCTTTAAGGAATCCTTMTGAARCCATTTTTTAGTTTAACACAAACTATAAATTATTTAAATCCACAAAATAATTAATGAAACACAACCACACAACTAAACACTATGCACGGAACGTAAACATTCAGAATTGGAACTGATTGGAAAAATTTTATTATTGAAAGTGCTGCAGTTGTTTAAAAAATCACTGGGCGTGGCACATTTAAGATTCATTATTAGAATGTTAATAACTTTCGCGGAATATCCCTGACTTTTGACTTTTCAAACCCACCTTATCTGCGCAATTTTACATTACCGATTAATTGTTCTTTAGGCTGGCGCGGAAATTGTTTAAGGTAATTTAAAGATTTTAATTTGACGAATACATTGTCTAGTGCTGCCAGTAGGTATATTTGGTATCTGCTAGGATTGTGGTTGCACTTAAAAATAATATAATCCAGGTCCCCATATTTTCCGCATTCACAGGTTGGTGAACTTTTTATTCCCAATTTGTGTAAGTGCACTGCGCTCAAACAGTGGTTAGATCACATTCTAATGATGTATGTGGTTAAAGCTCTGCTTAGAAATCTAACGTTAAAGAACTAAAGTTTTTTTGCGGGCATGGCTGTGTTTCCCTTTGTCCAGTGGCCATCATTTGTACGTCTCCTTCCATTTGTTCCAGCCAGCTTCTCTAATCAGTAATTAATTTTTCGATAGTGGGATTTTCAGTCAACGGATGGTTGCAAAATAAAACACTACTTTTTCATGGGCCAACGTTTCGACTTAATTCAAGTCATCTTTAGGGCTCTAAAATGGAAAACAGAGGGGTTTTAGCCTAGAGCCTGGTGAAGTTTTAACACTTAGTGTGTGACATTGTTCTGTCCCGTCTCAAAAGAGTTTAAGATTACATCAAATAAAAACGGTCAGGCGGTCAAAACTATAAAACACACTCAAAACAATGATCTCATGTCAATAAGATTAAAAAGCGGTGAACAAAGGACGAAACTAAGTTGGTAAAAAATGAAAGTCTAAATGGGCGCAAAACAGCGATTGGTGATACAAAAAGCAAAAGTAGGTTTCGGAAGACACAATCATGAAAATACGTTCATTATGTAATCACTCACCTATAAAGTCAGTGGCATATTTGCTCAAGGGTAACATGCTTCTCAAGGCAGGTGTATTACTAGACTGGCTGTTTTAGATTTTCTGGAAGGCTGCGAAGAATATCTCGCTGATAAGAACATGAAATATTCCACACACTCACAATTTCTCTTTTGCATTTGTAAAAGCTTCATTTTTCAGCCATTAGTATATATGAAATTAGTTTTAGTTGTTTATATTATTCTTTTGTATAAGGCTATTATAGGCTTCACTCAGATTCGCTGTGTCTCTTCGAAAATTGACAGAGTTTTTAGTTTTTATGAAAATTGATTGACTAATTAGTCGATTTACTAGCCTTGGCTGATGGTCGAGAATTTTGATGTTGCCAAAGTCGAAGTTATTACTGGTGATCCTTTGGTGTTCTACTAATGCCGTGTCGTTGGTTATATTGGTCTTAGCTGAATCTCTTTTGTGTTCTGATATTCGCTGTTTTAAATATCTGCCTGTCTGACCAATATAGGTATTTGATATATTATATTCGAATTTAACTCAGTGGGTGTTTTAGACTTAGTCTTAGTGTAAAATAATCTTCCAACAGTGTTCGAACTGGAGAAGGCTATTTTGATATTATCCGAAGATACAACTTTTGCTATTTGTTGTGACAAACCTTCCACATAGGGTATTTTATGATAAATGTATGTGTTACTTGTTACCTCCCTGTCTGTTGACTTATAATTCAAGGTTTTGTTAACTAAAGATAGAGGGTAATTGTTGTTTAACAAGTAATCCCTAATCAAGGCAACATTCTTGTGATGGAATTGCGGACTTGAGAGTGCAATAGCTCTATTTTTCAAATTTCTAATTATGTTAATCTTTATTGTCATTTTATGTTTGGAATAGTAGTTTAAAAATATTTCAGAAAAAGTAGGTTTATGGTACCAATCGATCATAAGTGAATTGTTTTCTCTAATGAGCACTGTGTCAAGAAATGGGATTTTGTTATCTTTTTCTGATTCGATAGTAAATTGTAATTTATGATGGTAGCTATTGAAAATTTCAAGTGTTTCAGCGTTCTTATCTGTTGGTACCGCTGTGATGATGTCATCAACATATTCTTTGTAGAATGGAAGCGAGAAACTTAGGGCTTGTATACATTTGGTTTGTAGTTCTGACATAACTATGTCAGCGCAAATAGGGGTTAATGGGTTTTCCATGCCTAATCCAGAAATCTGGTGGTAGTAGGAATCTTCGAACATGAAGTAATTGTACGAAGTACAAAGATCCAACACCTCGGCAAAGTATTTCTGTTCTAGTGATGTGGTGGGTGCTATTTTGGACCATCTTGATAATACGATTTCTTTTGTTAAATCAACTGGAATGTTCGTAAAGAGCGACACAACGTCCAGTGAAATTAGTCTGTAGTTATTGGGATGTGGGAATGTGATATTCATCTCTCAAATGCACAATTTAGGAGCATTGTCAACCATTTAGATATTTGGTACAATGATGAACCGACAAAACTTACAATTGGTCTTAGTGGCACGTTGGCTTTATGTATTTTGGGTAGAAAGTACATTTTGGGTGCGATTCCATTATTTGTTTTAAGGCGTTTGGAGAGATGCTCATTAATTACATGTTTGTCATGAAGTTTTTTAACAAGTTTATTGTTTTTGTTCTGTACCGTTACTGTGATGTCTTTTGGGAGGTGCTTATAGGTTTGTTCATCAGTCAGTAGCGATTTTGCTTTGGTCAAATAGTCAACCCTGTCCATAACCACGGTGGTGTTACCCTTGTCTGCTCTGGGCACAACCAAACTATCAAGATTAACTTTAATAAAAGACCTAGTTGCAGCCAAGTCTTTAAGCGGCGTTTGTTGTTGTGCATGTGTGGTAATTTTTCTATTTCTATTGTATGCGACGAAATTTGTGATCACATTAATAACTGCGTTCGTCCTCAACATTCACAATCATCTCCCTAATGAGTAAATTATATTTATGGTACGGTAAGTTAAATTTTTCCCCCATGCTCAACACATTACTGACATTAATGGGTATTTTCACTTTACTTATTATGTTTACCAACCATTTGCTGTCCTTGAAGTTTGGTACTTCTACATTGTACTGACTATTATATAGTTTGTTCAATTTATTACATTGCTTATCTCTAGTTTTTGTGAATTGTTGGTTGTAACTATTTAGTTGCTTCTTGTTAAACTGTTGTAAGATATTCGTTGGTAATTTATCATTTAAACTGTTTTTATATTATTCAATTGTTTAGTTAGCTGGTGTATTTTCCAATGATATTTTATTTCAAAATTAAGAAGTTTCTTTTGGAAGTTGGTCAGTAAGTTTCGGCATGAGTTCACAAATGGTCTATCACTTATAACAATATACTGCAAACATTTGGAGGTTTTTAAGAGATGTGTTAGTAGTATACCCTTTTTCCTAGGTTGTAATAAAAATTTCTTGTGGTTTCGCTGTTTTGCCAAAGACGTTGTGATACCTGCCCATCTTTTCAGCCCTTGTGCAGCTTCCAGGTCAAAGGTCTCCCTTATCGATCGAAAGAACCCTACACCCACCAGCCATGCCTATGTTGTTAGTAGTCCCATAAAATGTGGAGTTATGCTATGAAAACATAGCTTTTTTAATGATTGATAAAAAGTTCGTGTGCGGTATCAGATCGAACTGGCATACATCTTCTTGGCTTCTTCCTTTTAGGGCCAGCTGGTCCCTTTCGTTTCCCCATATTCCTGTGTGGCTTGGCACCCACACCAATTTAATCGAACATTGTCTTCTATAGTCTACTATTTTTTGTGTAGTGTTTGGGGTGGTGTACTCTTGATCTTTGGAAGCCCACTTCTGCTTATGGTTTGTAGTGCACTGAGGGAGTCTGATACCACTGCTGTTTTAGTTGTGTGACTTTTCATGGCTCTTATGGCTTCTCGTATAGCTTAAGTTTCAGCCCCGCATATAGATGTGCTGTTACTTGGTTTTCTAGCTATCTCTATTTGTGATGTTCGGGCAAAAAATCCTATTCCACACGCTTTGCTATTCGGGTCTACCGATGCGTCTGTAAAGACTAATCAGTATTCTGGTGCGATTTCTCTCATGTTGTTCGCAAATCTTTGTCTATTGTCCCCCTCTTTAGATAGGTGTAAGTTGATGTTTGGTATTTTGGTTACATGTTGTATATACGGGAATTGGTAACATGGAATTGTTTCTGAATTATATATTTGGTTGGCGTATTGTGAGAGTATCTTGTATATTTCATAGGATAGAATTTGGTCTTTGATCTTGTCGCCTTTTCTGGCAATGATCTTAGTCGTTGTTTTTCCCGCTAACCATATTCTTCTCAAGTCTAATGGAATTTCTGCCGATTCTGAGAGTAACACTCGGATGGGGGTAGACCTCATACAACCCATTGCCGTACTTATAGCTTGATGTTGGTTTCGATTAAGTTTGTGCCAGTTTGCTTTCGACGTTTTGAATATGCATTGCATACGCACAGTCACAGTCCAGGTGTGATCGCACAATTTCAATTTTTCAATTTATTTATCAACCATCAATACATACGTACACGGTATTGTCATGTTGAATTACAATCTGTATTCCAACATAAACAATTTAAAGAAAATGAACTTAGACTAAATTAGTGCAGATGGGTAGATAATATAAAAGGCCATAACACCTAGATGTAAGAACATCTGTTTGTGTTGATTTCCTTACTCTAGTCTGTTGCACTAGTGCTAAAAACATCGATATCCAAGCTAAGCCAATTGGCCACTGTAAGTAAAAATGTTGTATGAATGTTTTTGCATTACATGTTTTCGAATTTTTCACAATTTTTTATCATATACTCTTTACATTGTTTAGTGAAACTAGACTGATTTACAATATTTCTAATTTCCATTGGCAATAGATTATAAAACCTAATTCCTATATAATTTATAAATTTTAGATTAAATGTGGTTTTAGGTTGAGGTAATTAGGCAGAGCTTTGTTCTTATTCAATCTAGTAGAGTGGGAATATTGTACAAAAATTTTAAATTTACTGTTTTTATGACTAAATGAACAAGAAACGAATATGTATAAACTTTTTACATTATGTATATCATCCTGGTATAACAACTTTGTCGGATATATTCTGTTTTTTTTAAACATGACTTTAAGTATATAATTCTGGTAACTATGAGCAGAGGTTCTAAACTACAGCCATAAGACCCTCCCCAAGCCATTAAGCCATATCTAATGAGGGACTCGGCTTATATGCTTTATACACTGTTTTAATAAGATTAAAACTTAGGAACTCTCGCAGTATATAAAACTTACRTATCAATTTTCTGATCTTAGTTGTTAAATATTCAATATGATTTGTCCATTTTAAGTGCTTGTCAATCATAATACCTAAGTATTTTGTATTTTCTGYCCCTTTTAATTCTAACATTTTATCCTCATCTACTAATATTTTATCAAAATCCGGACGATTTGCTTCAGTTAGTGAAAAGGCAATATAATTTGATTTCTTAACATTAAGCGACAACGTAAAACTATTTAACCAATTATGCACTGTGCTGAAACAATGTTTTACAATATTTTTTAAGTTGTTCCAATTACCGCCAGAGAAAATCATTGCTCGACATAGAATTAATATAAGTGAGGAAAAGAACAGGGCCCGATATAGTTGGGGGGGGGACTCCAGTTTTAATTTTTAAAGGGTCACTAATCGTATTATTTATTTTCAAATACTGATCTCTATCAAGCAGGTAATTCTTAAAAACTTCCAATGCTTGTATATTGTTAGTAGGGCTCCTAACAATTCCTTTCTATATTTTTAGTAGGGTCTTTAGGTCACTTCCCCACCATACATATACTTCTAACAAGAACAGATATATTTAAGTGTTGTCTATGACCTTCACTTTAATTATGTACATGCCTGTGAAAAATCAGAAAAATATGCAGCATACCATTTTTTCTCCTATAAGATTGCATCTTAAACACAAACAAACATTAACCAGAAAAAAATAAGTAAAAAAATGTAAGCGACTTTTTCTGAGCTATTTGAGCAACGCCAGGCGGTTAAATACCAAGTATGTGCATAGCGGCAACATGGCAGTGAAACGCGCAAGCGCAATCAGCCAGGACTACTATGGACGATTAAGAAAAAAATATCTGCTCTTCCGCACGGCATGCGGAAAATATTAAAATTTGCGAACTTCTGTGCATGGGCGGATCGAACGCAGCCGGCAAACTTCTGATTGGTCGGAAGGTTTTCCGCATTCCGGACTCATGAGAATCCAACTTTTATTTTAATATTATATTAAATGACATGATAATTGACGATGTGGATGATGCTATGGAACAATTTGTCGTTCCAAGGCAAAATATCATAAAAATTAAAAAATAACAAAAAAATCATGTGACCGCGTGGGTCACATCCTGCATGAAATCTTGGGCTTGAAAAAGCTGTCTGCGCGATGAGCGTCGCGGTTTCTGACTGCGGACAACAAGCAAAACCGTGAGACTTCAGAGCAGTGTTTGACGCTGTTTGAGCGCAATTCAAAAGAGTTTCTGCGTCGTTTCGGGACCGTCGACTAAACATGGTACACACCAGAGACCAAGAAACAGCCGAAACAGTGGATTTTACCCGGCAAACGTGCTCCGAAGAAGTCGAAGACTGCCCTATTGACCGCAAAGGTGATTGGCACCGTTTTCTGGAATTCACAAGGTGTCTACATCAACTACCTGGAGAAGTGAAACACGATTACGAGGCTTTACTATACCAAATTATTGAGCCGCTTCGACATCGAGTTGCACAACAAACGGCTCGATTTGGCGAAGAAAAAAGTGCTATTTCACCATGACAACGCACCGGCTCACACCTCCGCCGTCGGAAGGGCCAAATTGGTCGAATTGCACTACGAACTCCTGCCTCATCTACTGTATTGTCCAGATTTGGCCCCGTGCGACTTCTTTTTGTTGTGCAAACTTGAATAATTCACTCGCCGGGCAGAACTTTCAGTCGAATGAGGAGGTCATCGTCACCACGGAGGCCTACGTTGCAGAGCGCGAGAAAACGTATTTTTCAGACGGTTTAGAGACGTTGGGGCGTCGCTGAGTCAAGTGTATCGAATTAAAAGGAGACTATGTTGAGAAATACATCGCCACTTCTAGAATTTTCTGTTTTTTTTATGGAGGCTAAGTGCTTATCGGAACGCCCTCGTAAATATTTGGGCTGGCATTGCAGCTGGAAACTATTTTCTCGGTCTTACATTTTTTGATCAGAATCTTCCGGGCGAACCTTATGCTGAAATATTACAAAGCCGGATTTATCCGGAGATACAAACAATCGTAAAGGACAATCCGGAGGAGTTTCAGCTTATTATTCAAGAAGAGTTGGGAATGGATAAATACAGTAGTTCCTAATAGATGGCCTGGACGGCGGAGGTCAGTTGAATGATCGGCACAGTCGCCCGACCTTGCCCCAATAGACTTTTTCACTGATGAAGTCTCAAGAGGAAGTTTTATGTTACAAAACCTGATTAACTTGAAAACATTAGAGAAAGAATAAGGAACGTTGTCCCGGGACTGCCGAGAGTCACAATTGCAGAAGTTAGAGGTGAATTTACGCATAGACTTTTCCATTGCCAGACCGCAGAAACTAAGAAAATTTTGAGCATTTAATAAATTAGAATTTCTAAAAGTTAAGTGGTTTTTCGAAGTTGATAAATGGATAATCGCACTCAATTTATAAATTTTAAAATAATAAGTTTAAAAATATGTATTTCCAGTGCATCAAAAAGTAAATCGTCCACACTACAGCCCGATTGTGGTTGACAAAAGCATATAAGATTTTGGTCTGTCGTGCCCTCGTTGCATTAGGTATCATTGAGGAAACATGTCTATTAGATGAAGGATCATGTCTATTACAGAAGGAGCGAAAGTTTCAAAGTCATTCAGTGTCTTGTTGTGACATATCACGTAATGCATAGTAGGAAGCCTCAACATTTCATTAATGGCCATCAAATTTGATTCCCCCAGTCATTTTATATATACATATACTATAAGTAACGTTATGTGACGAGTTTCATTTTTTTTAGTTCTGTTCAAAGCCCCAACTTGGTGCAAACCTCCGGGTCGAATCAATCAAGCAAATTATGAACGAATTACTGACATTACTTGTTGAGGAAAAGCTGGATAAATGCGGAGGTGCTTACTTTAGAGTCATCAACAGTAATTGTGCTAAGATCATTGAGCTTTCTGCGCACACAAATGTAATATGGTAAGTGCAACTTAATTTATAATAATTTCATTGAATTATATTGAAGTTWGTAACTTGCATTATGCTTGAAAGTACCGGTCATTCGGAGTGAAGTGGGACATTGACTTATCGTGTTGGTGACAATGACAGTTATTGGTAACAATATCAGCGATTTTAACCTAAAAGCCCACATTTCGTTCCCTCGCTCGTTTCCTACATTCTCATGTTATTGAAATGTTTTTCTCGATCTTGAAGACGCATTTATTGAATCAAATCAAAATCTCTCTAATATATATCCGTCGTTTTTTTTCATTTATTGTTTTTTTTTTGTTGAATTTAGCGGATTTGTTTCCACACAACTGTTTTAATTGCATATAAATGGCCACTCACACTAATACTCTCAATCGATATTGTACATAGTAATTATAATATTCTGTATCCATTCTTGAAAACTGAACATTGAGTAAAAATACAGAAGATTATTCAATTAAATTGAATTTACATAACCTATAAAATCTCTCCGATTTTCCGAATAATCGGAAAAAGTTGGAATCAATGGAAAAGTCAAATTGTCCGATTATTCGGACGATTTGACGTCCGACGTCGATTTCCGTCGTTTGACGTCGATATTCCTATTTTATTTTCTATAAATTTGTGGTGGCAGCCCTGTACGGTTTTAAAATACAATTCCTGTTAAATAGAGGCTGTTAACAATTCTGGAAAAAAAATTGTGATTTGGTTTTTAAATGTCAGTCAGTCCTAGAGGTGTGAAAAACGGTTATTTGTCTGTAACCGGTTACAACGTTCCAGTTTCACCTTGCTAATTAGTTTCAAAATGCGGTTCCAAAAGGAACATGTTACTTTTTAAATTTTTCATTACAAATGCAGAATGATGATGATAGTAGAAATAGTGATGATATATAATGATTTCCTTTATTAAAAACATAATTCTTAACATTGGTAAACTTAACATAAAATACTCTAAAATCAAAAACAAAACATAGGTCAGAAGTAACTACTTAAAGAACAAAAAACTCATAATAAACTAGAGTGATTAAATAAAATATACGGTTTATATGCAAAAATGTTTAAAAATGTCATTTTCATTTAAAAATGAATTAACATTTAAGAATAAGATTTTTTTTAGGTGCTTTTTACTCATTCTAATTCTTCGCGCGTTTGTGATTGCATCCGCTTTAGAAAATAATGTCTCGCATTTCGTTTCTCAATCACATTAAATAATCCACAATAACAACAAGCAAAAATTGGTGTTTGGCAAACCTGGACGAAGTATTACTCGAGTTAACTTTGGTACCACCAAAAAATAATTTCAAAAAATATGTCGACTTTACAACGTTTATGACTATTCCAATAACTTTTATTTCATCTCTGACTGAATTTATAGTTAAAAATTGCCAGCTTGTTTAAATGTAGGTGCACATTCTGCTTAAAACGTTTGTTATTTTACATTTGAACTGTGATGTAATTTATGTCTTAGACTCTTAGTTTGCTCATAGCTCATATGCAAGTGCACATTCTGCTTAGTTTGTGGGTTATGGGCATATAACCCCGAGCTAAGTTTCTTAACAGAAATCTCTTATTTTCAGATTTATTACAGAATGTCAGGAAACGAAATACTTATAGACTAAAAATGCGAAATTATATCATCGCAGCAATTAAACACATTTTTCCTGGTTCCTGGAGAACTGAACAGTAATTCTAGTTTCATGAGACGGTTCAAAAAAAAACCGGTTAAATCGGCTAGCTGTAACTACGGTTTCAGGTTACACGTTTGGAACACTGTTATTTTAGCGATTACGTTAAATACCGACCATTTCCTAGTCAGTCCTGTACATTCGCAAGTTTTCGAAATTATGGAAATTGTTGAATGAAAAAGTTCTTAGTATCATTAGTAGTTTACATTTTTGCTGGATAAATTCACCGTGGCACGCAGGGTGAAGATTTTATCAATTGTGTTTTTTTATTAGAATTTCAAAACTATAAAAGGGGCTGTTGCACACTAGAAAATACTAAAAATAAAAATCCAGATGAGTTTTTTTTTTGATGTCCTCTATTATTAGTAAACCATGACAGTTTCATTAGAAAATATTTTATCTTGTCTTAAATAATTGCATTTTAGTAATAGTATATTATATACATAGGTAGAGAAGTAAGCTATTATACACCGAGAACTTTTATATAATAATGGATATTATGTGCCAGGTTTGTGGCTGGAATCTCTCTTGAACTTATAAAGGTGGGCAAACTAAAAATAATGAAAAATGTAAACATATTTCATTATTTACTTAGGGGCTTTTTATTATTTTTATTGACCTAGGGAGAGAAATATAACTTCTCACTAGGGAAATGGAGTAAATAATGTGACTTCTCAGGTTAGTAGTCAAAAAGTCATTTTATTGAGGTGAAAGCGGACACCAGTTAGGCAATATAACAATAAAATCAGAAGTCAGAACAATAAACAAAACGTCGCTAGGACACTCGAACATATTCAACAAGGCCGAGAAAGTTTAAGACCGGCTGCTGAAAATTATTTAGTTCCAAAATCCACCTTAAACGATTAGAAAAAAAAATAAAAACTAAGAAATATGGAGCCAGTGCTTAATTTCATCAGAAGAAGAGAAACTCAATAAGAATAAGAAAACGCCTCTTACAAGGCGATCAGCCCATTTTTAACGTCCGTCGTCCGCCTTTACCCCACACATAGGGGGGAAAGCGGACACCCTTTATCTAAAAAAAATTAGGGGAAATTGAAAAGTTCTTTTGTTTTATTATGGAATTCGACAAAGAAGACACGGATGATTAAATTATTTTATTGGAAATTTTCTTTTCAAAATTAGATGTTTATTAAGAAAAAACTAAAAAACCGTCCGATTTCACCCCGAACAACGGTACAGATACATACAAAACATTATTTTGATTACTTTAATTTAGTAAACCGGTGGTTTTTTATGTTGTTGCTAATTTACAACACCACGCTTTTTATACTCTATACTATTTATCCACTTTGGAAATTTATGTTTTAACATACGACAGCAGACAGTGATCGAAACGGTTTTCTGGATAGTAGAAAATTATGTATTGTCATTTTCTAACAACTTTAACGTGCAAGAAATAGCATTGATGCAAACGATATACATTATATGTAAGATAGTGCAAGTTTCGAGGTTCGCCAACCTCAGGCACCCCCAGGACCGGTTTCGAGCCTATTATCATCAGCTCAGGCTAAACTGAGCTGATGAGAGCTAATAGGTTCGAAATAAAATTGTTGTCTTTATATACATTATAATTTACATATCCGTTTTCAGTGCTTTGATTCAACTAATGATCGAAAAGGTTGGTAGTGAAAACTCCTCCGAAAGACACGTAGACTTGGTTATGAAATGTCTGTGGAAAGTGATCAGACTGATGCCCACTTGGGGTGACGCTGTCGATTACGAAAGAGTATTATTGGATGTCCATAATTTCCTGGTGAAGTTTCCTCCATCGTGGTGGAGTTCGCGGCCCATGGATACTCCGTTAAAAACCATAAAAACTATTTTGCATTCCATTGTAAAATGTAAAGGTGCCAGTTCTATGCAGTTGCTGCGGAAGATACCCAATCCAGCCGAATCTGATATAGAATCTTATATGCAGCGACTATTAAAGGTAAGTCTTTATTAGTATTAATCCATACGGCGAATTTGTTCAATTAGCAAGTACTTAACTGTTATTGAAATATACAAGAACGACTTCTAGTAGGGATTTCCCTCCTTAATCTAATCTAACTAATCTGTAAATCAGTACAGGACACTGTAACTTAAACTTATTGGACACCTCTATCTGTCTCTATCTGTGCTCACTATCCTCTTCATAATAGCAGAGCGAGCACGAGTCTATAGAAAATATGGTATATACAGAGTGCCCGCTTTACGACCGTCAGTAAGGGGATGTCTGTTATTATACAAGATCCAAGTTCAGAAATTAAAAAATCTGCATAATCTAAAAGTTCTTGCATTGCTTGCCACAACTTTGATCTAGATACTCTGTCGAATGCCTGTTCGAAATCAATAAACATTTGGTAGAATTTTCTGTTGAATTCCCAGCATCTCTTAATATAATTCCCCAACAGTCCCCAACAATCTCTTAATATAATTTTCTACTCATCTTCCGCGATAGTTCAAAATATCCTTCGTTTTTCGTGCAGAAAACCTGCTTTGTTTGCAACGTTTCGACTTGTCAAGCAAACAATGTGAACATCTTTTTTTTATTCATCATCATTTTATTCATTATTTCATTTTTGTTTTATTATTTGGGCTATTGTGATTATCATTATTTTATTGATTATTATTATATACAACGGTGTCATCGTACCTAAGGTTATTTATGCTTACGCCATTAATGGGCATTCCTTCAGGGTAGTTTTCCAGAGCACCATCGAATATTTTGTTTGAGTAAATGTTAAAAAGTATTGGTGAAAGAATGCAACCCTGTCGGACACCGCTTTTGATTAGAACTTCGCCCCACATCCGTTGATCTACTTTAATTTGTGTAGTTTGGTTCCATTAAAGTAATTTGTGCAGTTTTTTTTTTTTTGTTTTTTTTTGTTTGCCCGGCGGCGGCTGGAGGATAAAAATCTTCTCGAAGACACCCAGTGCCCCGTGACACCAGGTAGTGTTGGATTTCTACCAACTAAAAAACCCCCGTTTTTTGACTGCAAGTTTCCAGGAGTTATCCTTTAAAACTTGTGGTCTTCTGTAAGAATAGTTCAGCTCTGGCATCCGTATGCCTTCACCTCTCATTCTCTCCATGCTAGCTAGCTGCTAGAACGGGCATCTTACTAATTTGACACAAGCACTACACTACTCAATGTTACTTCTATCACTCTATTCTACAAGTTATACACTTACAGCACTCTGCAGTTTACTGCTTGTACCTATTTATTTGCCCTATTGGGCCATCTGGTATCTGGGCCTTTTTTTCCTGGGCCCGAAGTCCTCTGGGGAGTAATCTATGGCATTTCGTAGCTCCTCAAAGGGGTGGTTTTCGGCCTTTTCGAAGGTCGTGGCTGCTTTTCTTTTTAGTAGGTCTCGTAGTGGCTCCCACTCTARGTCCCTGTAAATTTGACGATTACGTACAAACCAGGGAGCATCTATGGCCATCCGCAGAAGTTTATTTTCTGTGGCCTGGAGCTGCCTCAGGTAGGTTTCTGCTGCATATCATTTGTGCAGTTAAGTTCCAGTAAAAAAGGCTTCTCTTTATGAAATCCCTAGCAAATAAGCCTGTCCATCCCCAACTCAATTTGAGACTAGTCAACAGTCGCTTGCCCCGTGAATTAAGTCAGACCATTGCAAGGATCCGAGATAAATCCATGCCATGCAATTTACCAAAGCTTCTGAAGAAGCAAGTTAGATGTGGGAAATGCCCAAGAAACAAAGATAAGAAGACTAGATTCGTTTGCGCTGATTGTAGCACCTCCAATTTGCGGAAGTTGTACAATGAGTCGTTATTTGGCTTACTCTCGATAGACTACAAGAAAATCTTCTCTCGATTTTGTTAATAAATTATTTTTTTCTGTTTCTCAAAAGTTTTAGTCGCGTTTTTCTCGATTTTGTAGTTATTTTATTCTATATTTTCAGTTTGGTTGCTTATAGCAATTAGAAATAAGTTTTGTGATGTCACGCAATACGATTTTATTATGGCTTAAATATTTGTTTTTGCTTTTTGTTAGAAATATGTACGTATTATAATAAATAAGGTTACCGAATAGTTAATGACGCAGGTATTTTTTAAATTTTATCTAAGCAGAATGACCGTTTTTGCAGTGGAGGTTCGATAAACCCCACCTCACCAGTCAGTTTACGGGTTAACATAAAAAAAATCATAATTGGAAGTAGATACGGTAGTTTTTGCTGTTCTAATGCTTAAGTAATTCAATAAACTACCAATCAAGCATGGGACCATTTCAAAATAATGCTTAATAACAAAGTTGAAATTCGATTTTCAACTGTTGTTAATATCTTCTAGAAATTTTCGATCAATATTTTGCTCGTACTGTCCAAGGGGGACAGTACCTATAACGCCTTAAGGAAGGGGTTATAGAAAGGAACGACATCAATTTTGAATCACCCTGTATAGTAGGTTGAAATATATCCATTTGCTTGAAAACGGTGCAAGAACTTCATACAGAGTAATTATTAGAATCATTATAGAATAGTGAATAATTATTTAGTTTAATTGGTGATTTTTAATTTTAGAGTTTTAAAATTGCACAAGCTCAAGACGTTCCTCTGCAATCCCAAAAAAATTCACTGTCACGAGCAAATCACAACATGTTGACAGACATTTTCCAGAAGATTGGAAACAAAGAGAATACCAAGGATGGACTGAACCTGTTATACGACTTCATACAGCAGCATCCCGAAGCAGACATCGAGCCGTTCCTGAGCAAATCTAGCAAGTTTTTCCAAGAATATATTCAGACCGGCCTGAAAGAAATTGATAGTATAAGACGCATTGCTAAGCATAGTAATAGTGGTAAGTAATTGTCCAATTGGAAATTTCATAACGAACGTTCATGTGGCTATAGAAAATTGATGGACATTGCGTGTCAATATATTTTTTTACTACTAACCAGAGAAGTCACTATTATTTACTCCATTTCCCTAGTGAGGAGTTATATTTCCCTCCCTAAGACAACAAAAATAATAAAAAGCCTAGGTAAATAATGAAAGATGTTTACGTTTTTCATTATTTTTAGTTTGCCCATCTCTATAAGTTCAAGAGATTCCAGCCATTTTCAGTTCTAAAATCACTGTAACTTTACCAGTCACAAATTTTTCGTCTTTTTGGTAAACCAATAATTGAATAGTTATTATCAAAAAAGACACATTTAATTTGAGCTTGAAATTACCAAATATTTCCAAAGAATGTCAAACAAGAGGCGAAGGACAATCCGTTGTTCATTCAAAAATAACTATTTGGTGTATTTTGTTGCTTAAGATACTCCGATTTGATAACATGGCTATTTGATATATGGCTCATTGTAAAAGACCCAGTCGAATATCTCGTAAATTATAGCAAATACAAAAAAATGTACAAATGAGTAAATAAAAATGTACTAACTGCTTTTTTTGCTTTTACAATAAATTTTTAGATACCATATTTTTAAGCAAAATTTTACTAAAATGGAAGTAACACGTCGCAAGAAAGAAAAAAACAATTTACAGTGCATATACAGCGTTTCAAGCTGCATTCCATGAGCTAATGAAGAATGGGTAGTTCTATTCAAAAAATTTACTTTTATCTTGCCTCGCTTTTCTGAGACACTCTGTATCATGTAGGATATTTTTAAAATGTGCGCACTTTGTGCGTCAACAACTTTTATATGAAACTATTTTTCGAAAGTACAACACCAACGGAAATAATGGACTCTATCGCACTGAAAAAACACCCTGTATCTTGAGACAAATTATTGAAAACTCAGTCGACTGATTTGATAGCTCCGACCGGTGATGACGTTTTTCAAACTATAGAATCTGCTATAATCAGTCGTTTTTCATCGGAATCAAATCATAGCTTTTCCAGGGCCCGCTAGACTGCTTTATTTTTCAAGATCTTTTACGTCTTGGTACCCTGAGTCGAGCCGGCATCTGTATGGATAAATATGCCATGCTATTTATTTGTGGCACTACGTATTTTAGTAGTTCTGGAAAATATTTAACTACGCCGCTTTAAAGAGTCAACCGTTTTATTGAATTTAAACCTTTTAAATTTGATAGGAGAACCCAACAGTGATGAAGAAATTGATCCTGAGAAAACCCCGGAGTACTTCGAAGAAAGACTGAAAACTTGGCGTTTCATTTGGGATGAGCTGATGGCAGGCCGAACAGTTGATGACGCTTTGTGGCCCTTGGACCCAAACAATCCATAAACTCTAAAGTACACCTGAAGGTATTTAATGTGTAAAAGAAACTGGTACCTACCATTAAATATTAATAATGATAATTATTAAGTTTACTTTTTGATACTTTTCAACTTACACGAACTTAATGTCTAATTTTTGTTATCTCGTAGCAAGGTAGTCGCAATTCAGGAAAACGGCTAGTAAATGGAAGTAACTAATGAATTAGGATTATTTATATAATATTAGAGTTAGGAATTGTAAACCATTTACCATGATTGATGGCCATAATCGTATTTACTGTTTGTAAAATATTGGTTTTATTTATTTAGCTGCATTTAAAATTGTAATAAAGGTAAATCAAAGAGAACTTTTGTTAGTGATGTAGTTTGTCGTTGTGAACATTTTACCGTTAATTAAATAAAAATTCCATACATGAATACGTTCATATGCATTTTTATGAAATTACTTAATTTGAGTCGCATTTCTTGCTGAAACGGACTTATTTTAATGGAATAAAGGTTAAAAAAACAAGTTTCAAAATGACGTTGAGTGAATCGCCCTAAATCATTTTTTTTTTAATGAAAACCCCCATTTTTGATAATTGCATTTTATTCAGTAAAAAAATATCAGGCAAGCTTGTGTAAAGTTGTCTATTCCAAGATTGTTTAGTTTTCGAAATTTTGTCAATTTAATGTTTTTATATGGCTATTTTGCCCTCATCTCATTTTAAATCGTGCCACTCTTAGTTACTATGACGTAAGTAGCCATTTTTCATCATTGAACTATATACTAACTGGAATGGCATCGCCCATAAACAGCTAATGCTAGGGGCCGTAGCGAGGATTTGTATGACAGAGACGGGCAGAGGTAGGTATTCCGCGTCGTGTTCATCACATGTGCTTATATGCTGAGTTTTATACTGCGTCATATATTTTGTTTATTTTTGTTTAAAAAGCACTGTTTTTAAATTTGCACACATGGTTATGGGATGTGTGGCATATCAATGCAATAATGTGCATAATAAGAATAGTAATATTCAATTTAATGGGTAAGTTTTGACACCATTTTTCAAACTAGCCGCATCTAAACTTAAACTTTTTGACTCATTAGGTGAAATTATTTTAGTTTTCCGTTTCAACGACCTGAAATCCTGTCAATGTGGATCA